AGCACACACTCAACAAATACTCATCAGAAACATGAAAGTATGCTGGGGTGTCCCCAGAGCATCCCTTGACTTCTGGGTCCCCTTCCTCAAACTCTAGGTCTGTGTCTTGGTTCTGACTCCGGTAGCAGACCCTGAGCTGAGGATGCGGGGTCACAGGAAATGGAGAGACGGCTACTAGAGAACCAAGGGCCTCACACACACCAGACAAGTGCTCTACCACTGACCCGCACTGCCAGCCCACAAGCAGTATGCACACATTCCACCCAGAGTTCTAAGGTCCAGGAAGGCCAACGTCAAGGCTGACTGGTGAGGGCTGCATGCTGCTTCCCAGAGACCTCATTGTTACGTCCTCCCTCCTGAAGGCAGAAGGAGTGAGGCTTCTTCCTGGGCCCTTTCGGAAGGTCTCAACTCTTGCCCCTGATGATCCCACCTCTTAATTCTCTCCCCTTCCTGATTTAGATTTCTGCTTCTGGAAGGATTCCAGAGTCTCTGACACCTGACTTGGATCACCTCTAGTCTTTGGAGTGTCTTGGTAGGCTGAGGCCCCCTGCTATCCTGTGTCCTCCCTGTAATCCCACTGTGAGGATTACATCAAAGGTTTCTGCATTTGAAACTTTGGTTTCAATAGGATCTTGGCCTCCGTGTCCTCAGAGTTCCCGTCAAAGTGAGCTCTCCACCCAGCCAGTGTCAATCTCCCCCAGAGGAATGGGGACCGTGGGTGCAGAGGGTCACCATCTCATCTCAGGAAACACATCATCTCAGTGTTTCCCTGAGCTGTGCCCATCACAAAGTGGTACCCCATGTCTCTTTAATACTGACAGTTCGTGGTCTTTGACGCAGTTGTGGCCTGGTGACGCTCTTCAGCTGCTCATTGGTGCTCAGAAACCAGCGAGCGGTGGTGTTCCCTGGCCTTGGTGCTCTGAGTCCAGCTCACAAACGCTGATAAAAATAGTTGGTGAATAAGAACTCCGAGTGGGCTGTGAGCCAGCAGCCAGAGACTGGCACAGGATCAGGAGAGCCTGCGTCTTCTCAAACATCATGGGACCACTGGCCACCTTCATCTCGCAGTCCGGCGTGGCCCCTCATCATCCCACATGGTCCCTGGGGCTCAGGGTGGCCCCGCGCGCCCCTTTAGGCATGAGCAGATCATTCCAGATCCAGCTTCCCCAGGCCTGGAAGGGTTTTCCTGTTTGTCTCAACCTCCCCGGAACCCAAGCCTCTCCCGGGTCACAAGGGCACTCCTGCTAGGGTTTCCCAGGATGTCTGCGGCCAGTCCCTTCCCGAGGCACAACTACTCTTTCTCTTCCGGAACCTCCCAGGCATCCACAATGCCTACGTTACCATTATTCAAATACAAAGGTTGTAAGTTTTCTCTTTTTCCTTTTTAAAGAAATTACATCCTGAGATTGCAAAATGAGGGGGAAAAGTTTGATCAGAAATGAACTCCCCGTGGCCTTGGCAATGCCTCTGTTAGTCCTCAGTGTGTCATTCCGCTCCAGTGATTTCACATTAACTGTTGAATAATTTAAGAAGGGGGGGGGTAGCTGTGATGGTTGCCATGGGACAGATAGGACCTTGAACACAGAAGTTTGCAACGTTCTCAAGGCAACGGATGGGAGCTGCTGGGGTTTGAAATTCCCTGGCTCAGGATGACGCTAACCAGCAAGCTGAAGACACCATTTGCCTCATGGGTGTTTCTGTCTGGGAACAGCTGTGGCTCAGAGAGGTCAGGTGACTTGAGCAAAGACACACAGTTGGGGCATGGGATGAAGACTGGAGCTTAAGTCTGTCATGATTTAAGATGGTGCTCATTACTAGCCTAGGTGTCCAGCCCTTAGGAATGACAATTTATTTTAATTGCGTGGCCATAGGCTATCTGGTCATCTGTGGAGTTTTTCCTAGGAGCTCTGCAAATTCTTTCATTTCCACTTGTGTAGGGGCTGTGGTCTGTGCCCCTCTCCTTAAAGCTGATCAGACTCTGTGGTTTCAGCAACCTCGGAGAGAGGCATACCGCCAACCCCAGGTCCTCAGAGGCCTCCCAAGCCACCTGGTCCTCCAGGACGCTTGCGTTAGAGGCGGCTAGGCACCGTGGGAAAAGTGTGATCATCTGGCACTGTCCACTGGAAAGGCTGGATGGAGCCACTACAGCCAGCAGCCCAGCTGGGTTCCTCCCACCCTCCAGCCAGTTTCCAATGCCATTGTCAGTGTCTAGCCCCAGCCAACAGCTGACTGCAGCTAAGGAAGGGCCCTAAGGACAGACCCAACTGCACCTTCCCAGGTTCCCCCACCTAATACAGAATAGGCAAAAAAAAAAAAAAAATGGGACTGTTAAAGATGTCGTGTGTGTGTCATAATCATAATGCTGGGTCAAAACATGTATATATGAATACAAACACACATCATTAACAACAAATAACCACTATATAACTGGAGCACCCCTAGCCAAATCACTATAATATAGGACAATTTGTTACACAGAAGTACTACCTGTGACATTCCATTTGAGAAATTTGTTTAGCTTCCCTGATGTTTTAACAAGAAATAAAATAGTTCTGAAGTACCCAATGTGCTCATCTTGTATAAAATCAGGGTCTCTAAATCTGCTCCAGCCACTTAGAGGCCAAAGTCAAGGACTGTCCCGGTCCATTTGGACTTCTAGAACAAAACACTGCTGGCTGAAGGGGTTGCACACAGTGGAGCTTGGGAAGTGAGGCTACCAAAGGCTGTTTCTCTGTTCATAGATGGTCTTTCCCTGTGCCCCCACAAGGTGGAGAAAGAAAAGGAGTTCTCCAGTCCTCTGTATAAGTCTGTGGGGATCTCACCACATCACAGCTCTGTCCCCATATCTTCTCTGGGTAAAACACTAAGACATAGTTGGGGCTCTAGCACAGGGTGCCTGGGTTGGGGTGCCAGCCCCACAAATGGACAACCAAGTGTGCTGTGGAAAAACCTTTGTACACTGTAAATATGTATTGCTCCCCTTGGTAATAAAGAGCTGATTGGCAGATAGCTAGGACATTCAGAACAGAGAGAATGCTGGGAAGAAGAAGGGCAGAGTCTCAGGAGATGCCAACCATGCACCGAGGAATTGGGACGTGTAGAAAATGAGGTGTCAAGTCACATAGCAAAGCATAGATAAGCGGGCTAATTTAGGTTCTAAGAGCTAGTTAGTAATAAGCCTGAGCCATCAGGTGAGCATTTGTAATTAATATAAGCCTCAAAGTGGTTATTTGGAAGCAGCTTGTGAGACAGAAACTTCTGCCTACACTTGACCTTCTACCTTCATTGACATGTCCCCCAGTGTCCCTATCTGTAAGCAGAGTTCCATTTTCCATTGGGCTGTGAGAAGTTGACCAGAAGCTGCCCTTGAAATTCCTGTGCATAGCTCCTGACACACAGAAAATGATTTGGAGTGAAGAAAGGAGAAGAAAGGGGGCAGGTTGGGAGAGAAGGCCAGAGGGAAGGGAAAAGGGAAACTGAGGGAGAACAGGAGGGAGAGCTGAAGGTTCTGGAGCTGGTGCAGGGATAGGCATGCCGAGGAAGACTTAGCATGGCAATCTGACCTGAAGATGACAGGCTTGTAGAATTCTTGGGTGGGGAGGGGTGTCCCAAGGACCATGCTATGCCATCAAGAAACCTTGCAAAGTTGCCATGAAAAGCACCAGGAGGGAGGTGGGGTGGGGCCACTAGAGCCTGGGACTTCTAATTGTTAACAAGCCCCTCCCACCCAAATGTTGAGCCTCCAGTGGAACCCTATCCTTCATTACTTCCGGTTCCTGGGTGGGTATGGATCTAGGTCCCAGTTTATCCTGTTCCCCTGCACCCAAGGCTTAATGGTCACAGGCAATGGCGACAGAATGGGCATAAGCACAGAGGCCCATGACTCAGGAATGTGCCCAGGGATCTCTGTGCCGGTCAGTCCCTTCATTCGGTAAAATGGGGATGTGGGCAGCAGCACCAGTGTCTGAGGATGGTCAGGCTCGGGTCCTCAACACCTGACTCCTCGGCAGCACTGACTCCTCTGGTGCTTGGAAGAGAGCCCAGCACGTAGCAGCAGGTGCTTACCTGCTTACTGGGTGCGTGAGTGTGGCTCAGACCATGATGCTCCCAAAACTGGGAGCAGAAAGGAAGGAAATTAAAAAGAAAAAGAAAAAAGGTGCAGGGTGGTGATGCCTCATGCCTTTAATCCCAGCACTTGGGAGGCAGAGGCAGCAGATTTCTGTGAATTCAAGGCCAGCCTGATCTATAGAGAGAGTTCCAGGACAACCAGGGGCACACAGAGAAACCCTGTCTCGAAAAACAAAACAAAATGAAAAAGAAAGAAAAGAAAGATAGTAACGTACATCTGAATTTATTGGCAAGGGGACCAATGCCAGCCTCTTAGTGGGTGGGTGGTCTTTTCCAACCCCACTTTAAGTGACTGAGAGTGGTCTAGGTGTCTCTTAGCTCTTTTGACACAATTTCCTCACTTGCCCTTAAGGGTTTGGGAGTCAACCACACCTAATTTCCCGGATTCTGACCTCTGGATACTTGCCCCAGGTAGGTGCCAAATGCCCTGAGGCACATGGTACTAAGCTTGTTGGAACCCGCTCGGGGGTTCCCGAAGAAGCAGGCATCCTCTCCACACGAAGTGGGATGCTGCCTGCTCCCTGTATTGCTGGGAACCTGGAGATCCTGTGTTTCCATTTCTTAACCTGGGAACCGGCAGTGGCGGATAAATCCGCACACCCGGGCTCTGCACATGCCTCTCGGTGGTCTGTCCCGTCCTCCACTTGAGTGGCAGAGCCGGGTGGGGTCTTTGGGCCACGTGTCCAGCCTGCTGCGCACAGTAAGCACTCAATGAAAACGACTTTTATGGTCACGGCTAGGGGCCGCGCTCTCCTTGAGCACTGTGGTCCTCAGCGCCTCCTCCCGCCCGAAGGCAGCAGGGCGGGGCGGGGCCGGCGCGGCGAAGCCCAATCAGTGCTGCCCGTGGGCTTGGGGGCGTGGCCCAAGGAGCTCCAAGCAGCTACTAGGGGCAGCGCGCCTAGTGCGGGACCCACTCGCAGCGCCCAGCATCCGCAGGGTCCCAGCGCCGCAATCTGCTCGCCCAGCTCCGCTCAGGTTGAGACCAGAGTCCTGCTCAGGTGAGAGGGACTCGGTCCCACTGCTCTTTTGTTTGTATGAGAACAAGTCTCTCCGCGAGCCCAGGCTGTCATCGAACTCTGGACTATTCCACTGTCTCAGCTGCGATGTACCCTCTTTCTGTCTTTTGCGACTCTCTTTCCCTGACTAGGGCAGATGCGGTGCTTCAGGGCTGCATGCCGCGGCACTCTGCCTGTTCGGGTGAAGGAACGGAAGCTCAGTTACGAAGCCTTTTGGCAGGGACTGACTAACAGTTAGGAAACTGAAGAACTGGGACCCCCAGCCTGATTGCAGGCAGCTCCGCGCTCCAGCGGAGGCGCGCGCTCTTTTGCTATCTCAGTGCTGTTTGCCATTATTTGGGGAGGGGTAGTGTGTTGTCAGTGGGCGTCGATAACTGGAACGCTGATGGCATGGTTGCATTAGAGGGGTGTTTCACCCTGTGCGAACAGGGTCCAGGTGATCACAGGGGCAAGTTCCTTTTGTCCCAAGTTACAGAGCCACGCCCCTTTCCAGTTTCATTGGCAACAGCCTGCAGTGAGGAGGTCTCCTCCCCGTTTCAGTTAAAAGTACTGAGGGTCAGAGTGGTAAAGTGATCTGTACTAGCAGGACGGGACTGGAACTTCTGACTGCTTCCAAAGCTTCCCATAGTTGTGTCCAGGTATAACACAGTCTGGCCTCCAAATCAAGTTAATCCTCCTGTCTCCGTTTCACCAATGTGTTGGGATTACAGTTATTTTAGAGAATATTTTAGGAAACATATTCCAGACTTTTTTTTTTTTTTTGTTAGAGTGGGCACCTTGAATAACTCCTCCTGTCAGGAGACTCGGCCCCAGGAACTTAGGAGGTTGGCTGCCCCATATGAGGAAAGCCAAGACCAGTTCCTTAAGGGGTGTGGGCAGACTCGGCGCTTTGGCGCCAGATGCCTGCTTCTGCAGTCCAGTTTGAACTGGCTATCTTTCCTGGGAAAGGTGAGTTGCTAGGGCAACTAAGACTGTGTGAGAGGCTGTCTGGATGCCTGGGTCTTCTGAGCCAAGAGTGGTCAGGTCACTGTTGGTCCTGGACTCCTTGCCCTGCTCAAGTAGGGTGAGTCCCTTTTTCCAGATGATCCCACACTCCACACATCAGGTCTGGAGTCCGACAGCTGTATAGAACAAGTCTGGACCGTACCCCCTGCCCCAAACAGACTGAGGGGTGTGCTAGAGTCTTGTGTAGCATGCATCTGACATCCTGCTTCTGCCACCATCTCCACCACCTCTCACCCCAGGAGGAATAGCAGGTGTGGGTGGGGCTATATTGCTTGTGCTGGGGTCTGCACCTGGGGACCTGGGTCAGCGCTAGCTCAGAGTCCTGCTTCCCGGCTCAAGGTGCAGTGTGGCTTGTGGTATTACCCCTCCCCCTCCCCCCAGACCTGGATCTAGATGTGAACACTCATGACTTATAGGTCCTGCCTTTTTTTAAAAAAAAAATTGTTTTTATTGAGCAATATATTTTTCTCCACTTCCCCTCCTTCCTCTCCCCTCCCCTTCTACCCTCCTCCCATAATCCCCACACTCCCAATTTACTCAGGAGATCTTGTCTTAGGTCCTGCCTTTTTAAAGACAGCTCTCTGTCCCTTGCTGCCTCTGCTCCTCGACCTGACCTTCGCAGGGGACTTTATTTAAGGGGTCCAGGAAAAACAGCCAGACAAGAGAGGAGAAACACAGAGGGAGGTGCTGATTCTTAGAGGGAACGGCAATGACAGTTACCATAAGGCTGGCACCTGGCACTTCTCTGGAACATCTTGTGACCCACTATGTCCAGGGTTTCCTCGAGCAATACATCTCAGCCTGCCCTGTGAGTGGGCGCGCCCCATCCCCTGCTGCTTAAAGTGCATGCATGTGCAGAACACAAAACAGCTGAGCCTAGGGAGTGCTTCGCCTCTAGCTGGGCTCCCCCGACTCCCGGGTTCAGAGGAAGTTGCTTTGCCTGGTACAAACATGACTGTCACTGCTTCCCTCACTCTGCCATAAGGGTGCTTTTAGCATCTCCAAGCACTTGGCCCCAGGTCGGGGGTGGGTGTGGGGGAGTAGGGAATGAAGGGGCTAGACCGACAGGGCTCTTCCCCAGGGTGTGGTCAGCACACTAAAAGCCTTGCCTGGTGACCTGGGTCAGCGATGCTCCCAGATCCTGCAGAAGGGTGGGGTCGGTCTGCAGGAGCAGGGGGAGGACCTAGGTGGACAAAGGAGAGCGTGGGGACCTTCAGAGCTCCCACATGGCACCCGTCTTGCATGGACGACACTGGAAATGTCTACGGGCACGACCCTGGTGCTGACCATGGCATTGTGGGAGCTGGCGTGAGGCTCTTCTCTGTCACCAGTGTAATTTGTGCGTAGGGGAGGTGCCTCTGTGTCTGCTACTCTGGGAACTGGAAGCTTAATTTTTTTTTTAACTCACTGCATTTGATGAGTCCCAGATGTGCAGAGCCCGTGTCAGTCAAGAGGGCTGATGGCTCGGTGGTTTTTCAGGAAGGGAGGCTGCAGTGCAGCCAGGCGCCGTCATTTCACTGAATGGAGAGTTAGCACACGCAGCGATGTCCCCAATAGAGCACCCTGCCCCAGAGCAGGCCAGGACTTTTCTGAACCAGCCATGCTCTGTTTTCTTGAAAAAGTATAAAATATACATATACATAAAATCTGTCATTTTTATTTTTTTAATTTAAAAATCGTATTTTTTATTAAGTGTGTGTGTGTGTGCATGTATGTAGGTATGTACATGCTAGGGTGTATGTGCAGAAGTCAGAGGACAACTTGTGGGACTCCATCTTTCCTTTTATCTTTGTAGATCCAGGCATGTGATTGCATTTAGGTTTTCAGACTTGGCACAAACACCTTTCCCCATGGAGTCATCTCACTGCCCCATAATGAACCACTTTTGTTTGTTTGTTTGTTTTTTGAGACAGGACTTCTCTGTGTAGCTTTGAAGCCTATCCTGTAACTTGCTCTGTAGACCAGGCTGGCTTCAAACTCACAGAGATCCGCCTGCCTCTGCTCCCAAGTACTGGGATTAAAGGCATGCACCACCACCACCCGGCTCAGAATGTCCTACTTAAAAAAAAATACTTATTTAGTTATTTTTATGTGTATGTATTTGCATGTGGGTTTGTGCCCATGACAGTATTATTGCCCAAGGAGGGCAGAGAAGCCTCAGATCTGCAGAACTGGAGTTACAGATGGTTGTGCATCCTGCAATGAAGGTGCTGGGAACCGAACTCGGGTCCTCTGCAAGAGCAGCAAGTGTTCTTTCTTAACTGCCGAGCCATCTCTCCAGCCCTCCAAACATTACCACCTTAAAGTGCACAGCATTTCGTGTATTGGTAGTGTTGTGTGGCCAGTGCAACAATCTAATTCCAGAACATTCTCAACATTCTGTGTCCACGAGCAGTTACGCCTCAGGCTTCTCCTCCAGGACTTATCCCTGCTCGTCTTCTTAGTGTCTTTGGACATTCTCTCATCCTGGACATTTCTCACAGGTAGAGTCCTGCAGCCATGTAGTGTTTGTGCCTGGGCATTGTCAAGATCCATCCATTTGGTAGCATATATGTGAATATATTTACTGCATTTTTTTGAGACAATGATTTACAACGCAGCCTTGGACGACCTAAAATGTGCTCTATAGACCAGGCTGGCCTTGAACTCAGAGATCACCTGTCTCTGCCTCCCAAGTGCTGAGATTAAAGCCATGTACCAACATACCCGATTTTACTACTATTTTTTCCGTGTGCAAAGTGAAGGTTTCTCTATAGCATTTTCTTTCTTTTTGGTTTTGAGATGGGCCTCACTGTGTAGGCCTGGCTGGCCTGGAACTCACAATGTATCCCAGGCTGGTCAACCCTCTTATTGCTTGGATTACAGGTGTGCCATCACCATGACTCATTTTTGTGCTGGGGTTGGAAAAAGGCATACAAGACCAGTGTTCTGCTAGTGAGCTACATCCCAGCCCCTCACTGAGGGATTCTAGGCTGGCAGCTGCTCTACCTCTGGGTTGTATATCCCATCCTCCGTCGAGCGTATTTTTCTTCTCATACTTCTGCAAATGCCCTGCTTAGTATTCTGGCAACACTATGCACATGGTTCTGTAGATGTGTGTGCAGAGGAGACAGCAGGTCACATGCCCATTGGTGAGAAAGCTGACTCCTTCATCCACTGTGAGTAAGCACCATCAGTTTGGCTACTCTCACCCAGATGGCAGTGAGCTCTTCCGTGGTGGGTACAGACAGACACTGTGGCCGGGAGCTCTGTGGCAGGGCTGACGTCTTGGCCTGAGTCACAGCAACCCACTGAGAGTCCTGTCTGAAACATTGCCCTGGGGGAGCCCTGCTCTGTTTCCCACCCCCAGATTGCAACTATGGTATTTTCGGGCAGACACCCCCCTTTCCAGGCCATGGGGACATGATGATCCAGCCAGAAGGAAGGTTGCTTGGCCTCTAGTGCTGTGTCAGCTTAGGAAAAACCCACAAAATTGGGAGCCGGGGAGGCCTAATGAGAGATTTTGCAACTTTTGGACCATCAAAAAAAAAAAAAAAACCCCTTGCAAACTATGAAAACCCGCATTTTCAGTCCAATTTCTGGAATGTGTCATGTTTGAATGCTGAATGGCAAAATTCCAGAAGAAATGGCAGCCACAGTTCCATTTTGCTTGTAGGCCAGAGGTCCCAGTGCTAACCCTGCCCCAAAATTCTCTCAGGCGGGACGAATCGCACTTGCTCTCGAGGACCGGGGCTGGCATCAAGCCTGTGTCTTCTGACCCTTCGTGGACTGGGCCCGGGACTGGGCCCGGGACACCAGGCCAAAGAGACCATGTTTCAGCTGCAGGGAAAGGGACTGGGCTGAGGGGAGCCGCTGACCACACTAGGCTGAGCTCCGTATAGGTCCACAGACCTGGGACGGGGATGGCCAGGGTGTAGGATCAGCTCAAACGAGGGTAGCCCAGGGTCTATCTTGCCACCATGGGTTGTACCACTGAG